TCTCTCTCTCTCTCTCTCCAGTACATCTTTGAGTAAAGACAATCCCACAAAGCTTAAACCCAGACACCATTGCTCACATTGATGAATTCACACAATCATAAATTCTAACAGAACAGAACAGCATGAATAAACGGTACTGAGAGAACATAATAGATACTGAGAGAACATAATAATAATTATTTGTATTGGGAATGTCGGAAATTACAGGTTGAAGCTGGACTGAAACAAATGCGTTTTAAGTGCTGATTTAAATTTTGATAAATTGGTGGACTCTCGTTGATGAGCTGGTAAAGCGTTCCACAAGGAGGGGGCGTGGTGTGAAAAAGCTTTCCCTCCGAGTCTCTGACTTTTGCTTTGAACTGTTCTTATTTAGGATAAGTTGTTTACCTACTCCGTCCCCGGCCCATTCACCCACTTCCCCCTCCCCATTCTTTTCCAGTATGTCTTGTTCCACACCTTTGAATTTATGGTGTGTACAATCACCACAGCTGAATAGAGAGAGAATCAATCTATACTTGATCTATCATATATATTTGGCAACTTGGGAACACATGACATGTGTCACTTTTTTCTCACCATTTATTGCTCCATTCCAGTAGAGTGTAAATATAGTAGGTGAATGACTTTCAGTTGATCTTAATGTACCGATCATTCCTTTCATCGAAAGGAGCCCAGCTAGTAATAAGATAATGTCACAGTGTAGAATCTGATGCTCTCTGAACATTCCACAGAGCGACACACAGTCAAGCAGAGAAAAGTAACCGATAATGGAACTACTGCTTCCTGTTTATTAAGCTAGCCTTCCCGGTTATACGACAAAATCAACACCTCTTAAAGGTCAATTAATTTTCCTCTTTATTTGTATCATGAATCCTCGTTCAGTTAAGGGAGGATCATTTATCGTTTATTTTATTTTACATCAGCACGTACACTTCCTTTCTGTTTTAAGCAAGGAACCCCATTTACGACCTAGCTTACTTAAAAGTTCATTTCCTGATAACACAAGCACAATAAATGAAGAATATAAGCATAATTGAGGAGAATTATTAATTTGACCTTCTCCATTGATTAAGTCATTACTGTTGAAGATGAAACGCGTACATGATATAATTCATTGAATCAAAATATTCGACTCACGGGGTGAAATCAGAACATTCGAATCAACAGGTGGTTGGCAGGTGCTCTGGTGTGGTTTGTTCCTTTTCTATTAAACAGCTATTGTTCCCTTCTATCCACCTTTTTTTTCCTGTGTATATTATTATTATTACTCAGAGGAAGTTGAGGTTGTTTCAGGATGCTCTCATGTCTGCTGGGGTAATAGTATAGATTGTGAAGCAAATGGAGCTTGCTGTTGAGCAGGGATTTGCGCTCAGAAATAAATGCTATCTATTAATATTTTATTATTTTTTAATTTATTTTTTAATTATTTTTTTAAAAACTTTCTATCAACATTTTTCAGTTGTTGGTTTTTGGTTGTTGTTGTTGGGTTTTTTGTTTGTTTGTTTTTGTTGTTGTTTGTTGTTGTGTTTTTTTGGGGGGGGTTGCGTTCCCCTTTCAGATATCAGGGGTAGTTGACTGCTCATTCTTCAACTTGTAGAGCAGTTGATTTGTTATGTATTATGTGACCGACTTTTCCTTGTGTGGTCTCATTTCTGCCTGGTTTGTTGACTCACTATCAGAACATGTCCAATAAGTCGGCCTTCACTGTTGTCCAGCTCAGATTGTAAAGAAAGATTATGCTAATGAATAGCGGACATAGTCAATGTGGGAACATTCAATCTAATCGTGATTTGTTTCCCGTTAAAACACACACCAAAAAAATAGTAAGAAAACCCAATGAATACATTCAATTTATTAATTCGGGTATGGAGAAATAAGAAGATAGAAAGATGACGATGACGGATGATGATGATGATGATGATGATGATGATGATGATGATGATGATGATGATGAACAAACATCAAACAACCTGAAAAGAAATGTGCTTTAATATTAACCTTAAATTTGTGGGGCGTATGTCCCCCCTCCCCCCCCCCCAAAAAAAAACACTCAAAAAGTAATGGAATAAAAGAAAGAAATAGTTGCCTGTTTTGCCCCTACATGCAAAATATAAAAAGCGTATTAAAATAAAAGTCTAATGGCCAACGGTGGTAAAGAAAGAATGACGCGCGACTTACACATTTTAAAAAAAATGGAACTTTAACACGGCCAGCTGAAAAAAGGTGGAACCTTGAGGGGTCTTTGGGATAAGAATTAAAGTCAACAAGTACAAGTAGTTCCTCGTAAACCTTTTCAAGAAAGAGAAAAAAATCGTCTCAGTCTTTTAAAAGTTGAACATAAGAAATGCAAATGCTTTTTCGTTTCCGACATTTAGAACTTGAATTTCTGCAAAATATTTCTTTAGCACATGCAACCGATACCAAAAAATTAGAAAATGTGATAAAGACACAGTCAAAAGTCTGGGCTTGATATATCTGAAGAGCTGGCCGACGAAATAGTTCTCAGTCCTACAAAGGGCAAGTGACGCAACACTCTCGCTGTCGAGGTTTCTGTCCAGTTTGTTAGTCACAAATGTGAAGCAACGGGGTAAAACCAGGCTCTCGTTAAAATAATGAACTTGGAAAAAAAAGGCGATCTTCCTTGTGTTTGGCAATTTGTATCAAATTTTTTTTTTCGTTAAATATCTTTCTTGTCCATTTAAAACATATTTCTGTGTGGATTTCACTGAAAAACATTGATTAAAGGCGAAAGCATTGTAAATTGTTTTGTTTCCTGGAGCTCTCCAGCTGAAGAATTCATCAAACTTTGGCAGCCAATTTCTCTCTATTTTTACCTATGAAACCTAGCGACATATATGTTTAATCATTTGACTGAAAGCTTGACATACTTTAAGATTATACCAATAACTCCATATATCCAAAATTTGACGAACGCCTGGTTCCACCGGGTCGTGACTCAAATGAGCTCTGGCAGAGCAGTGGCGTGTTTTCCTCTCCACGCACCACGCGTTTCTTCACTCTGTCAAGTCATCGGAAATTCCTGTCACCCAAAATAGCTATCCGAAACCCCGATGTGTGAAGCTCTTTTCCAAATAAGCTGCTCGTGTAGGTGTTCTTCTCTGTCTACCGTAAAACAAAAGCGAAAGAGGAACGAGGAGGACGGACAAGTTGTAAACAAGAAGAAGGTACGGTGTTTGGGTCTGAAAAAGGACACTTTTGTTTTATAAAAACCTCGGTTTACTTGAAAACACAAAGGTTAGAAAAAAAGCCGCAGAATTAAAGACAGAAAAAAAATCGAAGTATGTATGAGCGAGAAACAAGAAGGACACATAAGTTAGTAACACAAAGACATACAGAGAGTTTAAGTTTACACCACTCGGCAATCTCTTTTACAAGGTTAATAGTCCAAGAATTGTTTTTGGATATTTATATTGACTTAGAAAGCCACCAAGAGATACAAAGATAGCTTCAAATACATGCACATATTAATTGAAAATTATGGCAATTTAAAGATGTTCAAATAAATAAAATCAAATAAATGGTTACCGTACTAAAGTAAATACCTAAGATTTCACTAAACCTCCAGATATCGTCTAGTCGTCTGAAATTATCTTTCATTAAAACTATTGCTCAGAGGAAACATAATAGTTTGTTTTTTTTTCAACCATGAGTAAAAATTGTCTGTATAAATATATCTGGATCTATCACTTTCAAACCCGGTTCAATTGACGGACATCAATAAATCATTTCGCAAAAATGAAAGCAACATGCTTTATGTTGTCTTTTCCCTACGGAATGAAAAAAACGGGGTGTGGGTGGATGTGGTTGGTTTGTTTTTGTATATTTTGTCGTGCAATCCCTGAAATGACCTTAGGTCGGACAAAAAAACTCTTCCGGAAGTTGTCTTTAACGCCACATCTGCAGCGAGAAAGGGGAGATAACTAGTTTCCGTTACCTTGCTAAATATACATGAAAACAACCTACGTCAAACACGAGGTCTGGTGTGTGGGTGTGGAATCAAACTAAACTAGATATAAAAGGATCTCGTGATTTTTGTTCGATTTGTTAAAAGTTAATTCGTTTGCGCCGTTTTTTAGATTAAGAAGAGGTAACTATATTTATCCGGGCGACACATACATGGCTTCAAGTTCAATAACAAATATCTACGTTTGTTTATGTCAGCGTATAATCAATGGGCTATGCACAGTTGACCTTGGAGTCTCAAAGTATCTGCTCAATTGGATAGATCGATTGACAGATAAATGGATAGAG